ATATAATAATATAAGATGCAAATGACCAAGTAAAATGCAACACTGATGCAAGATTAATTGCTCAGCATTGGGAATAAATAAAATAAAATGCACATTTCGCATTTTCAAATTTATAATTACAAAAATGTTGGTTAATATTCAAGCCAAAATAACCATTAAATCAATTGTGGCATCTAATAAAAAAATGCAACTGGATAATTTTTAATCTTTGACATAATAAAGTGTGATATTCGAATCTTATTTAAATAGGTCATTGACTTTCTGTCTTCGAAAAACTGTAATAGTTGTACAGTTAAGCCAAGTAATAATTCTCTATGATCTATTAAGTAGTTATGATATTATTTTGAACACATTTTGCATTGACGGTTAAAAATTTATTTCATATATAAATGATTTAACTTGTGGCAGGTCGTGAAATAATGTAAAGTCAGAAATTACATCTATAACTTCATACAAAATATTATTGATGAAATAGTATTTCTGTTGCTTTATTACGCAACATTTTTGAGCTTTCGTCAATGAAATGATCCTGCTAACACAGAAATAACTAGAGGACATATATTAACTAAGCCGACTAGAGCAAAGAACGAAGTACTACACCAACCCAAATAGTGAAAACCAAATTAAGTCCATTAATTTTTGATCCTGAACTCCAGCCACATTCGATATCAGCCTTCAGTACTTCAACCACTGAATTATTATTCTTATTTGCACATAAAGACATCCTGAGATCATCTCGCGTGTGTTTACATATGTATCCAAAATGATTGAAATACGGAGCTATACTAGGACTATCTTCACAAATGTATTGTCGATGTTTTCTTTGCCAAACTTCAATCCATCTAGAAACGAAGAATTAAACATTAAGAAAGTTATTAGATGCATATAGAGTGTCCGGAAATAAATCGCAAACCATTCAGGAATCAGGAATGTGATTCTTCACGTGAAATGTCTGAAGTTCATAACGCATTTTTTCGAAGTTTAAAAAACAAATTTTCTGTAGGGCTTCTAGATTAGATTAAGAAATACTTTCATGAAATATGTGTGTGGCTTACACACATGTTGTTTTAAGCTTTGGCGTACTTCATGCAAATGTTGCTCAGAGTATGCTGCAAGAGCAAATGTTTAAAATTTGAGTTTAACCCCTAAATCCCCAAGGCTCAAATTCAGAATTGGTGTAAAGTAAAAAACTGTTTTAATGTTTGTTTCTTAGTGACTAACAATACATGAAACGAGACACACAACCTATAAAAACATCCAAAAAAATGTTGTTTAATCTCGCTCAAAAATTATCCATTTTCGAGAAAAAGTTTTTGAAGAATATCGGTTGGAATACGCTCTACTGTAAAAGTCTATTCAAAGCGTTTTTAACGAAAATATGTTTTTTGAAAGAAAATACCCTTTTTTATACATTTTTAAAGTTTATTTCGTTTTGTGTATTCTTAGATAGTCAAACAAAAAATAAAATGGTACAACTCAGTCCAATGAAGATTTTTTTCTTTTTGCGAGAATTAGGTACCTATGCCAAGTTCGAAACCAAACCACTACCAAAAATCGAAACTTTAAACATGCAGCTCTGGTACTTTTGACCTTTGAAGTACTGCTGTATGCACTTGATATTTAAAAATCTGTCCTTCATCATCATCATCATCATCTGTGGCTTCACAACCCGGGGTGGGTTTTTGCCGACTCAACCACACGTCTCCATCATTTTCTATCAAGCATCCGATCGGGGCCATCTTCGATATTCATGGCTTTTAGGTCTTTGGACGCCTTAATGGACGTTTTCCCCTTGGAATCTCTTCCCCCACCAGTTTTGCCATTCTATCATCCGGCATTCTTTTTACATGTGCGGCCCACTGGAGTCTCCTGGCTTTTATTTCGTTTACTATGCTGGTATTAGTGTGGAGTTCCTTGAGTTCTTGGGTGATTTTTTTTCTATATTGCTTTGTATTTTCGTCTCTAGTTGGGTCGAATATTTTTCTTAGATCTTTCCTTTCAAAGACCTTAAGTCGGTATTCGCTTGCAACCGTTAGGGTTCAGGTCTTGCATTCATATATTACGGCAGGCCTTATAATTGTTTTGTATATGTTCAGCTTAGTTTTTCTGGTAAGTATTCTAGATTTTATTAGGTTTTGAAGAGCAAAGTGGCATCTATCTGTTTGCAGCCAGTATCCTGTTATTTATTTCTTCTGTGATGTCGTTGTTTTCACTAATACTTGTACCCAGATATTTAAATTGTCTTGTCAGCTCAAAGTTGTAGTCTCCGATAGAGAAGTTTTGTCCTATTCTATCTTGGTTCCAATTATTTTTACTTAGGTCCACATACTTGGTATTGTTCTCATTTATTTTGAGTCCTATCCTTTCAGCTTCCTTTTCGAACTTTATGAAGGACTCTGTGAGGTTGATCCTGCTATTGCCGATCACATCGACATCGTCTGAAAAAGCCAGGAGCAGGTTTGGTCCCTCTTGATGAAAGAGAGCAGTTGGCCACTCGATTTTGGAATTCCTAATTACAATTACATATTCCAATGCTATGTAAAAGAGTTGAGAGGCCTTGCTTGAGACCATTACTGATACTGAAGGAGTAGGAGAGACTCTGTCCCACTCTAACCTTACATCGCGTATCCCCCATACATACTTTTGTCAGCGATATAAGCTTTTTTGGGAATCCAAGTTGTTGCATTGCTTGCCACAACTTTGACCTACATACTCTGTCGAATGCCTGTTCGAAATCAATAAACATTTGATGGAGTTTTCTGTTAAATTTCCAGCATTAAAACCAAAACAGCATAGAGGAATTATAGGCTAACATTAAAGAAGCAATAACCACCGTATACAAACACGTACTTGGAAAAAAGAAAAACCGGCGAAGGAGATGGTTTGATGATGACTGTAAGAGGACACTTGAAGCACGGAACTTTGCTAGGGAAAAATGCTACAACATCCATCAGCACCTATTATAGAATAATATAGACATCAAAGAACAGCAGCTCGCAGAATGGTAAAACGAAAAAAGAGGGAATACCAGCTATGAATAATAAGGGACATAGAAGAAAATAGACAGAATAACAGAACAAAAGTGTTTTAGCGAAATCTCAAAACAGAAAGCGGGATACCAACCCAGAAAAGAAAATTTTCCCACAAAAAATAATGGAGAACTCATAGCCAACGAAAAAGAGATTCTAAATACCTGGAAGAAATACTTCTGTGAACTGCTCAATGCTGAAGAAAATGCAAATACGCCATCAACAAATATACCAGCGGCCGAAATTGAAGAAACAGTGAAGGCAATAAAGAGATTGAAAAATAACAGAATGCATAAAATCTGGCGGAGAAACACTCCATAAGGCCATACATAAACTTATACAAATCATCTGAAAGACAGAGGCCCTTCCGGATGAGTGGAAAAAAGGCGTAATCGTCCCTATACATAAAAAAGGAGACAAAAGTAAATACATAATCTATCGTGGAATGACTCTTCTGAATACATGCTATAAGATACTCTCCAATATCCTGCTAGAGAGAATGAAACCATATACCGAAGAGATTGTTGGAGACTACCAATGTGGTTTTAGAGCAAATAGGTCCACCGTGGACCAGATTTTTACCATTAGCCAAATAATGGAGAAATGATGAGAGTTGAACAGAAAACTCTATCAAATGTTTATTGAGAGTATATAGATCAAAGTTGTGGCAAGCAATGCAAGAACTTGGATTCCCAAAAAAGCTTATATCGCTGACAAAAGTATGTATGGAGGATACGTGATGTAAGGTAAGCGTGGGACAGAGTCTCTCCGACTCCTTCAGTACACGTAAAAATAATTCCAGATGATAGAATGGCAAAACTGGTGTGGACGGAGGTTCTAGATGGAGAGATAATATTGCAAAAGACCTAAAAGCCATGAATATCGAAGATGGCCCTGATCGGATGCTTGTGATAGAGAAGGATGGAGACGTGTGGTTGAGTCGGCAAAAACCCACCCAGGGTTGTGAAACTACAGATGATGATGATGAACAATTATAATTTTTTAAAATCTGTCCTTGAATTTAAGCATATTTTATGGAAACCTACTGTTTGTAAAAATATTTTTATTAAAAAAAATGTTTTTTTTTAAGTTCCTAAATATGGGCCACTATATATTTTTATACTGACCCTAAATCGCAATCGCAGTCCCATCGATTTCCCATGATTTTGAGATCCTTCAAGAAGGTTTTCTTAAATAAATCAGGTTTTGGTCCAGTGGATGGGTTCATCAAGCTTTTAAGGTCTTTGTTATCTCTCACGTCGACGGTCAGATTTTTGGCACTGCCTATGTTTTTGAATAATTCTCCTGGTACCCTAATAATGCTGGTATTTCTGAGGCAAATATGGAGGTCAGGAAATTTGACACCCTGTAAAAATACTTCGTTTCATTAACATGTCACCTTATACAATTTGTCTTACTTAATTTCTCAATCTTTTGTTTGATTTAAACTGCCCTTTAAGTTTTGAAAACTTTAAACACACACAATGCGCTTGAATTTGTTTAGAAATTATGCTATAATTTATTTATTATAGTGTTATACAAAATTACAATGATGAATTTGATATAATTGATTACAATTCTACAATTAAATTTCTAACAAAATACAAATCATGGGCGAACACTGCGTATTAGGAGTGTATGAAAATTAAATAGAAATTACGCTGTAAGATAATTTCTCTAATAGGAAACATAAATGCTTTGGAGCACCAAAGCGAAATTCAGGTAAATATCTGCAGGGAGCAATAAAATACAATAAAATAAAATTACTAATGGTCACACCAGTGTTTATGAAAATTCCTGAGAAGTTACATTTTCAATAAATAAACATAACCCAGCTTCAAAACCTGTAAAATCAAAACTAAACTGTCCTGTAAAATTGAAACTAGAACTGGTTTAAACATAAAGATGGCATTGGTTGGACATCATTCCAGCTCTTGAAAATTGTGTTGAAATTGTAATCTAAAATTACGGAGAGGCTGACACAAACTTCTGTTTGGCCTCTACGAGGTTCTCACTTCCCCTAAAAATATTCAGGTTCCGGTTAAGTCTAAACTTGAGATTAAATGTCTCTGAATTCGTTTTCCGGCACCCGAATTTATTGCTAAGAGATCTTCAGGTTCCACATTGGTTGTGGATATTATCCTTCGTTCATAGAAGTGTTGCATTAATCGAAAAATTGTCTTGGGCTTTAGTCGGGCTATATAAAAATACAAAATGAGACCGATTACGTTATACCAATTTTCTTCAAAACTATCTGTATAAGGAGTAATCTTTCACATTTTGATGAAAATAAACGGCATTACTATCAAGTCACATATTCTCTCTAATTTCCAGACTCGTTTTCTAAAACTTAGGTAGGAAAACCCTAGTAAATAGATTCATTTAAGTTCTGAGTCAGTAAATCATTCTCCACTTCAGGGGTTTACTTAGATATTACGGAAACATTGTTTAATAGATATTTCAATGTATTTTTTAAAGATATCAGTTCCCCAAGATGCAATTTCAACTTTGCTTTTAAGCAATATTTTCAAAAATTGCTTCCCTCCTAAATTATTAAGTGCAGAACGGTAACTTAATAATACATTTGTGGTTACTTTTTAGATTGTGCTTTTCTAAATTTGAAATGTATATCGATGTCGAAAATGGATCAAGCGTATCTTTCCTCGTCTTTAATCTAACTCTTTAATCTTTTGAAAACTACCTACACGTCCGGAACTCGCGGATTGCAATTTATTACGAGCAAATTGATTCTTCAAAGAAAGTGGAAGCTGGTGAAGAAAGTGAACGTTGTTGCAACTGAAAGCAGTATTTGATGTAGAAAGTGAACGCTAATGCAAATCAACTGCCGATTGCTGAACCTACTCGATCGAAGCAACGATTAACTCACGTTATCAATTCGTTTAGTTGTTTTGTTTGAGTTGAGTTTGAGTTGATTTAGATCAACTAAAACACGCAAACACGCAAATACACTTGAACTTTTTAAAATTTTACGATCAATTAATGCTATTTGATTATAAATATTTGTGTCAGTCGTTTTATATTTTTTGGTTGGTTTTAAAATTACAATTAATCTCGCAATCTCAAACTCTTCCTGCGGGACCAGTGGATGAATTGAGAAGTTCATATGGTGATACTGCCGCGGCATGTTGGTCCGAAGCCCGGATAAAAGCAAGATATCATAAAACAGGCGAGGACAAGGAAAATTAAACGGAACATACATAAAAAGCAAATAAGGCTAATATACTAGAAAGTAAAATTATTCAGTGAAAAAGACCAGGAAATCATACTAAAACTGCAGCATCATAGAATAGACATATGTGCCATATCTGAAACAAAAATAGAGAAAAAAGAACAGGACAATACGATGACTACTTTACACCATAATTACGCCATAATTACAGAAGAGCCTTTCAGGGGCCCCCAGAACATTGCACAACAACTGACACTTTCCCAGACACCAAATAAATAATACCGGCTACTTTCCTACCACGTATGTAAGATCAGATTAAACTAATCGATTACTGAACAGCGGTATAAATCGAGCAGGAGTTAATTAACCGAATACGAGAAGCTGCTCGAGGAGAGTCCATAATAAAGGCATAACACAGATACTTGTTTGGAGTTAGAGACTCAAATGTATGTTTTTGTAATTTGTAAACAAATTAATAATTCGAGGTTATGAGTTTAGAAATCGGTTCCGTCAATCAACGATTCCTGTTAAATTTACCGTTTATTCTTGTTTATCTTATTTTCACTTTCTCTATTTATCCATGGTTACCGGAGTTTTACATACCTAATTACGAAGCAACAGGTATTTACGTAATGTTAATTAGGCAAATTACCTTGAAAAACATTGTTGCCGTTCTTCTAATATGTTTTTTGCAAATTTCTCAGTTTTTAATAACAAATAATTTATTTTTTATTTTTTCTATACTCCTAAAACTCCGCAGACAATACCTTCAGAGGAATGACGCCAATTTTGAATCATCCTATAGTGTACGCACCAGATACTGGAAAGCCTGGATTTCTACGAACAACGCCAACTGCTGATAGAAACAATACCGCAACATGAAGGAATAATAATAATGGGCGACTTGAACGAACGAGTAGGGAACGAGGTAATATCTGGACTCAAGAATAGCTTTTATGAGGAGAAAGTGAACGAACGAGGTGAGAAGCTTGTGGAATTTTGCTCTTACCAGAAACTAAGGATTAACAACACATACTTTAAACACAAACCCCAACACAAAGTCACATGTCAGGTCTACAGAGGCGGAACGTCCACAATTGGTTGTATAATAACGAATAGAGCCATTAAACCAGCGCAAATACAGGATATCAGATCACTAACATCGGAAAACGTATAGGAAGCAACCGGACAACCCAGCAACAAAGTTCAATATCGAGTCACTGTGAACAGAAAGCACACTGGATATGTACAAACGACGCATATCCCAAAAAATTGAAAGGGAATCAATCCTCCAGCAACACCCAGTAGAGCGCGCATGGAACATCATATTAAACAACATAATCCAAGTAGCGGAGGAGGCACTAGGCAAAAGAACAGTCAATGCAACGACTAAACACAGAAATATAAATAAAAACCTATGGTACAAGCCATAATGGAAAATGATCAGAGTCACAAGGGTGGAAATAAATGAGACAGTACAATTAAATAACATCTCGACAGCCGATGGACTACCTACTTTGAGGGCCTGAATACAAACCGGGACGAACATGAACAACGAAGGTCCAAGGTGCGTCGAGGTTGAACCGAAGGGAAGCCATATACATCGGGGATGTAGCACAATACACGGTAGAGGTACTGATCTCCGAAATGAAGCACCTGAAAAACGGCAAATCTCCAGGCGCGGACGACGTCCCTAACGAATTGCTGAAGTGCGGTGGAGAAGTTTTTGCTGGACAGCTGGCCGAACTATTCAACAAAATATTGAAGAACGAAAATACACCAGCGAGATGTGGACACAGCATCACAATGTAACGAAGGTTACTAAATTTTTTTTTGTTCCGTCCAAGATATCCGCAGCATAGCCTGTAGGCGTACATTTCGAACGCTTCCATTCTCTTCTCTGTGGCTGCATCGATGGTCCAACTATCGCATCCGTACAAAAGGACAGAGAAGATTTAGTTTTCATCCGTAGTTCCAGGCTGCGGTTTCGATTTGCCAAAAATGTCCTCATGTTGTTGAGAGTTGTTCGAGCTTGTGCAATTCTTGCTCTAATTTCCAGTTCTGTGTCGCGTTGCTGGTTGACGAGTGGTCCCAGATATTTTAGAGATGGCACTTGTGCAATGGTCCTCCATGGAGTCTCAGAGTAACGTGTCTTGGTGATTTTGAGAATACCAAGAGTTTGGTCTTGGACGTATTCATCTAGAGGCCGAAAATCTTGTTATGTTCCACAACGAGATCCATAAGCGATTGAAGTTCTGATAGGCTACTGGCTATATTTATGCCTGCATTACTGCAAATACTGCCTCAGAGTAGAGGTTAAACTGTAGGGGGACAGCCCACACCCTTGTCGCACACCTCTTCTTATTGCTATTTCTTCTGATGAGCACCTTTCGATTTTGACTGTTGCTGCTTGGTGCTAGTCAAGTACGCTTATGGTCTTTAGATCTTGTGCTTCGATTCCGGTTGATTTTAGGATGTTGATCATTTTGCCATGTGACACACTATTAAAGGCTTTTTTATAGTCAATAAAGCATGCAAACACATCGACAGTAATGTCCCTACATCTCTGAGTCAGCATGTTGAAAGAGAAAGAAGTTTGTCGGGTTTCCGTTCCGCTCCAACAACCAAATTGGAAACGATCAACTAGGTTCTCACACTTTCTATATATACATCATTCTCATAGACATCAAACTAATCATGCGGTATTTGTCGCATTGTGATGCATTGTTCTTCTTTGGCGAAGTGACAAAGGTGGATCTCAGCCATTCAGCGGGTATTTCTCCGATTCTGTACATTGGGTTAAATATTGTAGTAATAAGATCCAGACTCACCCCGTCCTCGGCAGCTACGAGTTTAAAGGTTTCCACATGCACATTGTCAGGGCCAACTCTTGCGTTCTTTTGAAGTTTGATTGCATGTTTAACCTCTTCCTTTGTAATTTCAGGACCCATTTCATTGATTACGTCTATATCTGGTAGTAAATCCGGTCTTACGTCTTTAAAAGGATTCTCAGTATACTCCTTCCACCGTTTTAGTTTCTCATCTACTCCTGTAATTATTTCGTTGTTGGAATCTTTTAATACTCCCCTGTGACTCTTTTGCTGCCTGCCGGTAAGCTCTTGATATTCTTATGTACGTTAAAAAGAATGCGTTTCTTCTGAAGAGGTTCTATTTCCCCGCATTTGTGCGCGAGCCGCGACTCTTTGGCTTCTCTGCATTTCCCACGAATAAGCTTGTTAATTTCGGCATATTTAACTGCGTTTTTGTGTTTTTGTTCTCTCCGTTCATTCATAAGTGTCATTATTTCATCGGTCATCCACTCCTGCTTTTTGGTATTATTTGCAAATCTAATGTCAGTCTCCTGGGTCATAATTAAAGTATGCTTCAGATTTTCCCATGAAGACTCAATGTTTTCGTCTGTTTCAGTGTTTTCAGAGATCTCTACTGTTTTTGGCTGATTTGTGTCAGTGACCGATGGTGGTTATTCTGGCCTCGTGCTGGAGTGTATTTCGCCCTGTATGGGCTCAGAATTTCCACCTGGCCTTCAAATTCCAACTGTCGACCGTATGCGGTCATGCTGGCCTAGTGCTGCCGTAAATTTTGCCTGATATGAGCTCAACATTTCCACCTGGCCCTCAAATTCCCATTGTTGACAGTAGATATTCCCATTGTCATTCTGGCCTCGTGAATTTCGCCCGGTATGAGCTCAGAATGGCTGTCGGTTTGCAACCCTCGTCTGTCTCTGAACTTGAGCACCCTTTGTTGACGTTCGACTTGTTTTCCCGCTGATGCAACGAGCTTAATGTTTGAGCCAGTTAATACAATGTTTTCATGTCCGTTGGATAAACCCATTCCGATAGAACGCAAAATAGAATGGCCACCCTAAAGAACCAATTTTCGCTGAAATTAACTGCCAGTAACCGTCTTTCACTGTCCAGCTACTCCAGTCGTCCTATGGCATTCATCACTCAATCAGTTTTATGCAATCGGAGATTAAATAACCAAACACAGAGAAAATTTTCCTCCCGTTCCCCTCGATCCTCCCGCTCCCCGTTCCTCCCGATCTCTGAGTTTTACTAGTGTCAAATTTATTCCGAGTATAAGTTCCCTAGTCACGTCATTGTATGGTTCCGGATCAAACCCGTATTATCGTTGCTCGTCTGTTGAGTAACCGCCGATTATAATATGATTGAGTAACCGCCGAAAACTTGTTCAAGTCCGAACATGTTAATTTACCGGAAATAAACCTTAACAATACAATGAGAGCTTCTGAGCCACGATCGCGCCCGAGCACCTGCTACGAGCACCTGCTGCGCACGTTATTGCTTATTATTACGTATTATAGGTACGTTATTGAAAAATTGCTCATTTTTCCGGTAGCGCCATTACATCAATCTCAATATTCAACAAGGGGAAACCTATATCGCTACTAGACACTACCATGAAATTATTCACCCGTATGCTGCAGCAACGCATTCTCAAAAATAGAGCATAGCACAGGGATACGACACTGAACAAATCTCAGTCCACTGCTGTTCAACATCATAATAGACATAATAATAGAGCAAGTGCGCAAGGTAGACCAGGGATACAAGTTGGGAAACCAACAACTTAAGATAATATGTTACGCAGACGACGTAACACTATTTGCTGACACGGAAGGCGGACTACAATGGCTTTTTTTGACAGACATTTAAGAAAGAGGGCGAAAAAGTTAACATGGAAATATCAACCACCAAAACAAAACGCATGATGATGAAATGATTTGATGAAACAAAACGCCAGGAACCACGCAGATGCACACTGGAACTGAACAACAAAACAATAGACCAGGTTTTTTAATTCAACTACCTGGGAATAACAATATGACCATATGGTGAACTACAGAATGGTGTACGGAACCAGGTAAACAAGGCAGCCAGGTTAGTAGCAGCGTTACGAACAACCATATGGAAACGGATATCAATCCCGACCAAAGTTAGCATTTATAAGGTCCGTAATCACATACACGACAGAAACACGAACTGACACAGACAAGAATACTTAGAAAGATCACAGGGTACACATTATGGAATCAAAGAAAGGGTGATGAAATTAGGGAAGAATTCAAGACAGAGGACGTGGTTAGATGAACCCTCCTAGGAGCGGCTTCTGGAACGAGCAGATATTCAAGATGGAGAACCACTGACTGACAAAAATCGCCAGAAATGGAAAACCAGCATCCAGCAAACCAACAGGACGGCCTCACAAGAAGTGGAAGGACAGCTGGTCGTCGGCATCCCAGTAGGGACAAACGAATGGGTAAAACAAGCCCAAAGGCTTCTGCAAAGAAGAAGAAGAAAATACGAGCCAATTTTGCTAAGTTTGGTTTGCTACATGTACTTAAAATATTTCCATCTCATCCTAAATCACTCGTTAATAATATTACACCAATACAGGGTGATTCAAAATTGGCGTCATTCCTTTTAAGGGGTGATAGAGGCTCCCTGTGGGAGTACGAGAAAAATATTGAAATTTTTTTTTTTTTATTTCTAGAAGATATTAACAGTTGAAGATCGAATTTCAACTTTGTTATTAAGCATTATTTTGAAATTGTTCCATGTTTAATTGGTAGCATATTGAAATATTTAAGCATTCAAAGAGAAAAATTACGATCTTTGCTTCACATTACAAAAATTTTTGATATAAAAAAAGTTCTCTTCTACAATTTTTTGATGAAAAGGCACAGCGGCAATGATGTTTTTTGCCATTAACAGATAGTTACAAGTGGATATCCCTTGTCAACCATAACAATAATTTGTCAAACTGTGACTTACTTTGAATTTCCTTTCACGAATTTGCTGGTACGCGATTAGTTCAGGGGAAATGCTACAGTAACATAGCAGAAGCTAAAAGAACTCAAGGCAACAAAGGGCGAGGAGAGTGGTTCCAGGAAGATAATGGACGACAATCGATGTTCGGGTTCCAGACACAGAGGAACAAGTATTGGACATAATCGAATCAGGGCCTTCCAGGGGCACTTAGAGCACAATAACTGCCACTTTCCTAAGCACCAAATAAATACCGAGGAACGGATTAAATTCCTACCACGTTTGTACGATACACACAGCACAAGGAGATACAAATGAAGCAGGAGTTAATTAACTGTATACGAGAAGCTGCTTAATAAGAGTGGATAATAAGGAGATTATACAGGCACTAGCTTGTTTGGAGTTAACTATTCAAATGTTTGGTGTTGTATGGTTTATTTTTAAAGACCGATATTCGAGGTTATGAGAACAGGTTGACATTTCGGCAACAAATATTGTTGAATTTGCCGTTTATCCTTGTCTATCTTATTGTCAGTCTGTATAATTCCATGGTTACCGGAGTTTTAAATAATTACGAAGCAACAGGTATTTGCGCAATGTTAATTTGGCAGATTACCTTGAAAAACATTACTGCCGTATCTCTAATATAGTTTTTTGCAAATGTCTCAGTTTTTAATAACAATTAATTTCTTTTACTATTTTTTCTGTACTCCTATAACAGCGCCAGACAACACCTCCAGAGGAATGACCCCAATTTTGAATCACCCTGTATATTAATATTGTTTTAAAGTGAATTTATAGATATGTACCAAAAAATTATGTACTACTTATTATACTTTATTTTAAGTGAGATAAAAATTATTTTTCCTCTTCGTGTTAAAACGATCTTGCCGCTCTAAGCTTTTAGAAGTTGCAGCGCATTAAAATGTGGATTGAGCATTTCCGTTTTTTAAAATATTGTTATATTTAAATCACGTTTTATGTTTTGTCTCTTATTACAAATTACTTATTTTTTTGAAGTTTGAACACTCTATTTTCGTTCTCAATAGAGAAACAAATTATTTCAATTTAAAAGTGACATTTGTTTTTCTAATTAGCCCGATAAGCAATCTCAAAAACTAGTAAATAGTGTTTTTAGAGGTATAGTACTTTAAATTCACATAAAATTCATGTAATGGTCATGATAATGGCTTTATTGAAGAGACAATTGTATGCCATTATAGCTTAAGTACGGAAGAAATCGTTAAAAATTAGTCTTCCAGATTGCCCTTCATTTCAGTCAGCCGCGGCTTATTATACCCCGAATCATAGTTAAACTATAATGGCATACAATTGTCTTTTCAATAAAGCGATTATCATGACCTTAACATGAATTTTATGTGAATTTAAAGTTCTATACCTCTAAAAACACTCTTTACTAGTTTATGAGATGGCTTTGTTGTTGTTTTGCTAATATATTTGATGAAAAAATGCAACTAGACAACAATTTCATTTAAAAAGAGCACATTATTGTTCGTTTTTTAGCAAATAAATAAATAAGAATAAGCTCAAAACTTCATTTTATATTTGCATTCTCTCTATTTACCTGTAATGTACCGGCTCCAATTCTTTTTAAGCCTCTTCCGGAAAATGTGATATTTTGCAGTTTTGGTGGAAAGTCTCCAGCTAACTCTTTAGTTAAGTCACTATCGCTTTGCTTATCGACCTAGAATTAGAATAATATTATAGTAATTATAATGTAACTCCAATATTAAACATTACGCTCTTATCAGACTATGAAGGCTTTCACGGCCGGTCAGATTACATTTAGAAATGTTTTCCGGGCTTTGAAGCCGTGGTCTATCGGAATTTCTTCCTGACGTTTCGTCCACAACTGCGGTGGACATTTTCAAAGGCGATGAGGCAGTGGGCGAAGTGATCTCCGGTGCTTTCCGACTAAGAATGATTCAACTGCTGGATTCCCAGTCGTATTTATGCCGTCCAGCCGTGTGTGCTCATGCGTGGGGGATGGGTGGGGGTTCCAACGCTTCGGCGCACATGCTGTTTGGCGCAAAACGCGCTTCCAATCTGGATTGAGTGCCGTAATTTCTTCTTTTCTGTTGAAATTGTTTTGGTGTTTAAATATTTCGATGGCCTCCCTGGTGAGTCTCGGGTAGTATCTTTCAGATTGGTGCAGAATGTCAACTTCGTCGAAGCGTATGTGGTGGCCGTCTAGTAGTGCGTGCTCCGCTACTGCTGATTTTTCCGTTTGTCCCAATCTGCAACTTCGTTTGTGCTCCGTGATCCTAGTGTTTATG